CAAATGCTGACGGCTTCCTTTTCTAAAGGTCCTGAAATGAGAGTGCACCCCACCCCAGGCAGAGCCTTTTGTGCTTTTGGAGCCTTCATTTACACTCTCTTGGTTTCCAAAAGGCCAGTCTCCAAATTTGCATCTCTCCCTGGGGCTCAGAAGTTGAAGGCTGTAAAGATGTATGGTTTCCCTTTAAAAGGGTATGCTTCCATATAGATGTTGTTAGGTATATGCTGTTCCCAGAATCTTAAGGTCAGAGAGTTGTATGTATGATAAAAGAGGTGACTAAAAAAGGGTCACTTGCTGTTCTGCCATCTGCTCTTACCAGCATTAAATGCCTGCTGAAAACCTTGTTAAAACCAGTCTCCTGGCTGGAGTGTGGGAGGACTAGAGGACTCCATTCAGCTGTTTAACGCAGTGAATAACACTTGCTAGGTATGAAGCACTTTCCCCTTGAGGACTGGACCTAGTACTGTCTAAACTCGATCATACTAACTCACAAGTACTCCATCACAGCAGGTAAGAATTGTTTCTTACAGATAAGATTGCTGAGACACAAATAACGTGCCCCGAAGTAACACAAGACCCAGAAATAAAACACAGCCTTTATTTATTATAAAGAAATTAGGGAGTAAATTGCAAATGACTGTTTGCCTCTCCCTAAGACTGCTACTGCCTAGCAACGATTGCCAGATAGGATAAACATCATTAACTGTAAAAAGTTTAATGTCTAAAAGACATTAGGAGTGCTGATATGCAGTCTTGAGGTGTCTCTGTACTATTTTAAAACATCATCTGGCTTTGCCTTTTGGGTCTAAGAGTAGTCCCAGTTTGCCCACAGTATGTCTATGCATGCATGTGCACACTCCTATGGATATAATGGAATTCGGATTGCAGCGAGGCTATAATTAAGTATAGTAGGGAAATGCTTCTGCAGCCAAAATAAAAATTAGAAATCTTGCACGCTACATACAGAAGCTTCTCAGGAAATCATTCAAGCCCTCTCTTCCTGTCAGGCAGGGGAATATGCCTCTTAATTTCCCCTGACAGAAAACACATCACCTCATCAGCAGCCCTGGAAAACGACAAAACATCCCTGCTGAAAAAGACTGCCTGCCAAACGCTTCCATTGCCACTGCAGCAAGGGGGACAGGGAGGGGAGGTGTGTGCTTCAGAAATGTCATGGAAGGAGAATGATTTACCTTGCTACCTGTGGAGTCCTACTGTTATGCCTTGCGTTGCTGCAAAACGTTCATCTCATAGTCAAAGTGTAACCCTTGGAGACTTAATTTGAGCCAGAGGATACATGACCATTCGGTTCTAAAAGAATAATTTATACTCCTGAATTTGGATAGTGTGAAATTCTCTTACAGTGTTTGAGCCAAAGCAAACATCTCGATGCAAAGTCCACACCTGCAGATCTCCTACATATTTCAGTGCCAGAACAAATGTGGCTCAGTCACACACTGTGCTGTGTGCATTAACCTGTAGCAGTGGTTATCTCATCTGAAGTTACTGTGCAGTTTAAAGGCACTGTAGAGCTACTAATAACAAAATTTGAGTTTATGGAAATATTTGCTACTGCACTTCAGCTTAAATGGGTAGGATATTTTAAATAGACCTCAAAATCCTATTGAATCATTGCATTTCTGAATCTCACACAGTTACATTCAGAGTCTGTGTCTCAAAATAGTACATCAGGACATAGTAAATCAGAGGATTTTTATAGACCAGTACCGTAACATTTATTATTACTTCGCTGTATTTGTATTGCTTTTTTCATTTCTTTTTTTATAAACCAAAAGTATGGTGAGGTGAGAATGTTTTATCATCACTCTGTATGTTTGTGGGACTCTTGCACCAATGTATTTTTCCCTGCATTGAAGGAATAACCTTGTAAGTCAGAGTGACAGAGATCAGTGGTGTGTATGCATATAAGCACACTACCTCTAGTACATACACTAATAGTGTATTTTTATATAAATACAGTACAATAGACTGGCCTCCTATTGCAGTGATACTTCAGTCACATACAGGGCTGCATAATTCACATTGCTGCATGGATACTTCCAGTTCTCATGTTGCAAAGATAATTTTCAAGCTGCGAAGTAGGTGGGAACTGGTGCTGTCATGTCTGCATTAAGTGTTTGGACAGTCTGAAACTCAAGCCTGCAGAGTTTTGAATCTCTCATTTTGGTGGGATTAGTCTCTTGGCATGTAGTAGAGTTGAACTCATTGGAATAACTGAGTTGCTGAATTGATGATGAAATGTATAGCTGGAGGATTTTCTGTCATATAGCTGGGTGGTCATCTGTTGTGTGACAGAAATCATCTCCATATTTTATTTGTGAGATGGGACCCTTGGGAAAGAATGGGACACAGAAATGTTCCAGCAAGCCCAAAGCTGTTTGCCTTCTGCATCTGGCCCTGTAGAGGTGCTGACTGCAGTAGGTGACCAGTCCTTTGTAACACACCTCTGCAGGGTGGAATATCCTTCCAGGTGCCGTATCTGTATGTATAGGTATATTCTATACACACATATATGTATTACAAGCATAAGTAACTGACATACATATGTCAAGAATAGTTTGGCACATTTGTGTTCTGATCTGGGTGGTAGTTTCATTACATATAAAAGATTCAGCAATGAATTTGTGATTTTCATTTAGGTATGTGTTGTGACTTTGAACGTATCAGAGACAAGTTTACTGGCTGAGGCCTTTCTCTTGCATATTAAATTCGTGATTGTAATAATGGACTTTGATTGGTTTGGTTTCAAAGATTTGTGTATGGTAGTGATTTGGGAGTTAAAACGGTGTGAGTAGCTGCTTCAGTTTGAAAAAGTTTAGCAAAACTTACTGGCTTTAGAAAATAAAACTGGTTTTCTCCTAAGATATATCCAGAAAGCTAACAGATTAGGAAAACAATTTACCCAGCCCAAAATTGTTTAGAATCAGTCCCAGAATTCCTGTTAAGATGAAACTTAATTTACATAAATAAATCATTCCTTATTTTAGCTGTAAGACCTTGGTTTGACTCTACGGAGTATGTATGAGGATGTTGTAGCAGTAGGTTCATTGTGCAAATTGTTTTTTAAAAGACACTGTTTTAAAATTCTATAATGAATGTATTTATTGGCAAATAAATATAAAAACAATCTCCCTAGGGCCAGGAGAGGATTGTGATGGTAGTTGCTTTACCTTGCTTGTTTCTGGTAGTGACATGATGCAGTACCATTTAATAAAACACAATTTCTGCAGGGGTGGGATTTTGAAGTCCTTGAAAATATTAGCACTTATAATCCTGTATAGGTGAAGAAGTGACTAATGCAGTGAAAATAAGTCCCAAGGACATAATTATAGGATACCGATGGATTGTGTACTGCTTGCCCTGCCAACATCAAGAAGCAGGCACAGTGAGAAGAATGTGGTTGGAGAAATTTGAGGAATCTAATTGGGATGTGCTGGCAGGATTGATGCAGAGCAGACATCTTTTCAATCTCTCCTCTGGTGCCCCACATCACTTTAAATCGCTCATTTGAAGATGTCTAGGCATTTCTTTAAAATTATCCAAGTTGGAGTCGAACCAGAGAACAGGAATAAATTATTGGTATTGCAGAATGCCTCTGTATTTTAAAGATGCTTACATTCCATGTTAATAATGGAGCTCCTCATTTAATTCAGTATATTGCTGCTCCTTGTAACCAGCCATAAATTCTCTACAGTCCTGCATGTGCTGATAGACTAGAAAATGATGCATCTTTTTTATTAGTTCAATATCATCAAATAGCCAGGGGAATTCATGCAGGAGGCATTTTTACACAGGGCTTTTGCCTGCCAAACAACTCCAGCAGTGCCAATGAGAGGCTGCATACTTTTGTCTCATACAGTGAGTGCTGGGAAGAAATTGGGTTTGGTGTGCCTTCAAGTGCAAACTCAAACTATGGGGAGAGGACTTGCTTTTTTGTGTGCTGCTCCCAGCAGCAGTGGTTTAGCAGACCAAATTCATTGGCTCTTGTTACCAACTCTTGAGTCTTTTGTGTGTTTTCCAGATATAGCTGGCTGGAATTAGATCAGGTATTTTATTTGTTGGTATACAAGAAAGGGAGACAGTTCCCCCCCACACACCCCTTACCAGTGTAGCTTGCCAGAGTTCCTAGAGGATGGGGAAAAAAATGAGGTGATAGTTTTGAACACCTCTGTGGAAGAACTCCTAAGAGGACAGAACTGAATAGTTGTTTTTAGCAGTTGTGCTACTGCCTTGGATTTTTTTGATGTGATAAATAGGATTTTGCCTACTTACGTAGAAATTAAAGCTACCAGCTTCCAGCATGGATGCACATTTGAATGGGATTGAGCTACAATTGAGTTACAACTCAAGAGGTCCCACTTCCCGTCATGTTAGGTGCCATCACAGCATAGGGATATGGTCTCAGCCTGTCCTCGCTGCGAGGGAAGAAGTGGTAGTTCAAGGCACAACAAAAGGTTCAGGTCAGGTGTCAGCTGGACTCCAGCAATGCCATCTTCCAAAGCATGACTTCGGTGGGAGTTCTTAGTTCCAGTGATCTTACATTTATGATAGAACATAAGAGAAAGCAAACAAATTGCACAACAGTATGGTTTGAAACCACGGTTTTTAAGAGACTGAATGCAATCTTTTGTGATACACAGAATTCCTGCAGAGATCTTTCTTACTGCTTAGTTGGTGCTATCACATCGGATTCAGTTTGCAAATTTCTAATATTGATACGGGCAAACAGTGGCAGTCCAATTCCTAAATTTTATTTCAGTTGCTCATTGATGACAAAATGCTTTGTTATCTTAGCAGTACTACAGACCAGATTGTAATACCATCAGTAGAAATGTGTAATGTGATATTTACTAATAGCATATAGTGTAGCTCATGCATATTTGGCATTTTCTTCTTCTCAGCTGCTTTGTAGTTTAAAGAGAATTTTCTCATCTGAGCTTGTCACTTCTGATGCCGCTTCATCCTTTAATGTCTTCCAGCTTGCCACTTTAGAATTCCCTCCAAAGAAGCTCTTTGGAAACAAGGATGAACGGGTGATTGCAGAACGACGGAGTCACTTAGAGGTAATGCCAACTTTTTAACAGGCCTCTGCAGTGTATTTAGGTAGAGTACTGTCTGCTTGACCAACAGAAACCATTCCCATATGGTCACCATTAAATAGCCTGCTTGTAAGTATCAAGTTACTTGCTGCCTCGTTTAACACAGGAGATGGCAGCAGTAGATTGCAAAGTAATGAAACATCCCTTAAAAAATAAATTACTCCTAGTGTAGGAAAAAAAGAAGCAACTCTTTAGAGATATTCATAGGAGGTACATTTATTTAAGGGGGAAAGGTGGTGGGTGAGGTAAGCGTTCACTGTAGACAGATGGTCTCTGTGCAAGACAAGATTAAAAAAATATATTGCTACTTTAAATGCAATTTGTTAGTTGAAGATTTATTATTTTATCATAGTTACTATATCCAAATATCTCATGACAGAAGGAAAGCGATATTTAGGCATCTCTGAGTTCTATTTTGTATCTCAGCTTTCTGATTGTATTCTTTTTCTTTCAATTAATTTTAGAAATTAATTTTATCGTGGGCAAGGTTATTGAGTTTGAGGGTTTGAGATATTTTGCTGGTTCTGCAGTACTGTGGAGATGGCATAATTTATACTCCTATCACACATTAGGTCTTTATATTTCTCTGTTAATGCATGTTTTATTGCAGCCCAGGGGCAGGAGGTGGGGTTTGGGGAAAGAAGAATAGGTGTGATGAAAGACTAAGCCATACACCCTGAAACTATATTGTAGCCACAAGGGAATTACTTGATCATGCAAGTCATTAAGAATTGTATTCTTTGTAGAGCTAAAACAGCATTGAGTAGAGCTTTAGAGAAATTAATACAAAACTAGACTGCTTACAACTGGAATCTTTTCTTACATGTTTTGATTTTTTTCTATGTACTTCATCTTTTCTTTGATCTACCAACAAAACATCCTCCCACTGACTTTTGATATGAGGAGCACAATTTTTTCCATCACCTCCTCCATAGACAGCATAAAGACATGGCCACATTCCAGTCTAGTACTCAATTTGCATATTTGTGTACCAGTAAGAAATTTAATCCTTTAATCTTTCTGACCTTTCATTGATTTACTAAGGATTTAATTGTAATGTTTCTAATGTGAAAACTGCTGTGTATACTGATGCTTTGAT